AACCTTTGTGGGAAGGGGACAGGTGAAACATAAGTTTTTACTTCCTCTTTCTCTTTTAGGTCAATGATAGGTATCTTTTTCTGCTCTTTATTCTCTTCCTCCTTTTTGGGTGGATCCTCCAACTATTTGCCACTCCTTAAAGTAATAGCTTATACCTGCTCCTTAGGATTTTTTTCAGTATTACTAGGTAACATACCTTCAGGTCGGGAAGCCATCATGTTTGCAAACTGTCCGAATTGAATTTCCAAGTTCCTTATTGCAGCTTATTGGATTTTGTGGTTTTCTCAAGTTTCATTCATGAAGTCCATGTGTGATTTGGAGAGAGCAGCGAGAATACCATTATGAGTCTTTTTTTTCTTGAGAGGAAAAACCCGGTGGTGCATTCAAGGTGTTGTTTGGATTCCCGTAAGAGAGATTAGGATGATTCCTTAACCTGTTATCATAAGAGTTAGAATACGAGTAGTTCTTCCTTCCTTGATTCATCACATAGTTGACATGTTCCAAAGTTTGTGGATTTAAAGAATCTAACATGCATTCTCCAATCCTATGCTATCCATTACACCTGTCACAAGCTTGCACAATAGAATTTACCGAGTTAGTAGTCAATAAGTCCAACTTCCTTACCATATTGTCCACTTTGGCATTTGGCATTGAGTGCTGTAATGACATCAACTCATAAACTCCTACAGTCTTCTTCCTTTCGAAGTTACTTTGATAATGGCTATTGCTTGCCATCTCTTCTATCAAGTCATATGCCTCATGAATTTCTTTTCTTTCAAAAGATTCACTTGCAGCTGCATCTAGAGTAATATTAACGTTAGGAGATAATGTATTATAAAAAGTTTGCACCTGTAACCATTTAGGCAAGCTGTGATGTGGGCACTTTCTTAATAAATCCTTAAATCTCTCCCAAGCTTCATACAAACTTTCTTGATCATGATGGACAAAGGTCATTATCTCCTTGCATAGTTTGTGGTTTTTGAAGATGGAAAGAATTTTGCCAAAAATTTCTGAGCTAATTCCTAATCCCCCATTTCGTAAAAATTCCGCAGGGGCATGGATTGTAAACTAGATCGTGCTTTGTCTTTAAGAGTGAAAGATGAGAGTCTTAATTGTATGGCATCCTCACAAAACTCATTTATTCTGAATGTATCACAAAATCTCCAGAATATTGTTGGATCATGGCATAGGAGGATCTTCTCTTCGCTGGGCAGACCTCCATATTGAATTGAGGTGGAAAGCATTTGGATAATCGCAGGTTTAATTTCAAAATTGTTAGCTTCCACCCTAGGCCTAGTAATACTTGAGGTTGCTCCATTGAGAGAAGGGGTTGTGTAATCTCGCAAAGTGCGGACAGGATGCTGAGGTAAAGGTCTTTCTTCTGGGTTGACTTGATTAGTCATGTCTGCTTGCTGTTCAGGTTTGCTCTCACATGCTCTTCTAGTAGTGTTGTTCCTACGACAAGTTTTTTCGATTTCTGGATCAAAAATCAAGGGCTCAGTCCTACCTGATCGTCTTTGCATAAACACCTAAGAAATCTTCTTAGAAAAATTAAATAAAAAATAATCAATAAACAAAAACAAATGTCTAAATTAATAATAGGATAATTGGTATTGATATTGGTAACGCCAATCCCCGGCAACGACGCTAAAAACGTGACAGTGATTTTCTTAAGTGTATGAAATCGCAACAAGTAATATAGAATGAGTAGAGTACCGTATCCACAGGAATTGTATACTAAGTACTAAAATTATATTAATCTATTATTATTTAAACGACGATTTAGGAAAATTGTTTAAGAAACTAAATTAAAAAACAAGTAAAATAAAACAAAAATAAATCAAGCAAGAATATTTAACGAAAAGAAATCAAGGATTTAAAGGCAACTAGGGATTTTGATTTCACTTAATTCTATCCAACTTATTTTATTAGTTTGATACTCAATTTTAATTGTTCAAGTAGGAGAAACAACCCTGAAATCACTAACAAGCTCTTCCGTTGTATTGTTAGCTATTTTAACCCGGTCTAATTACCTATCTTCCGATAGCGCAATCAAACATGAATTAAATCATTAAGTTTTATGGTTTATTTTGTGATTCGTAATCCTAAGTCTTTAACTTATGAAACCCCTCATAGTCCAACCAATTAAGCTTCCGCATTCGTTGTTATTTCTTATATAGTTTATTGTTTTTTTCATATCCATTTCATATCAAAAATCCTTCTCCCGATAGTAATTAATGAAATAAATCAATCCAGGGGAGAAACTCTGCCTGGAAGCATTAAGTTCAATAATAAACTATACTTTGAGCAAAGAAAAGCAAATTTCATATTATAAATTGGAATCGAATTTAAGCTACATCAAATCCCTAGTTTAAGAATTTAGTTCGACATAGTATTTAAATAAAACTCAATTAAACTTGAATATAATTTCATAATCAATATGAATGATAAAAAGTAAAACAAGATTAAGAGTTTAGAAATAAAAACTAGTCAACAGATATGTGGACGGCTTCCTTGAATCTTCTTGACAATTCTCGAACACTTGAAGCCTTGGAGAAAGAGAGAAAACAATAGAGCAAAAGAGTGTTAAACTAGTGATGATCTCTACAATGAATGGCTCTTCTCTTTATATAGTTTTTTTTTTTTTTGGAAGAAAATCCGACTCCATTTAGGAAATAGAGTCCTTATTAAGTAAGAAATCTTCTTGGAAGTAGAAAATTGTTTAGACTTTGAATTTCTTCTCAATTAGGATTCTTTCATGCGCCTAAATAGGATTAGAACTTAATTTGCATGCCAGGAAAATATCTCAAGTGGGCCCATATAAGTTATAGGGACTGGTTGGCATTCTCGACTCAAGACAGCACTTGATTCGAAACACAGGCGTGCTGTGCAGCACGGTCAGGGCGTGCCAGAGCCTGACTTCTAAGGATGGTTCAGCACGGACCGTGCTCAGGGGCGCGTTTAGAGAAGAATCTGTGGCACGGGCGTGCCCCATAGCACAGCTAGGGCATGCTAGGATCTGAGTCTCCACTTGATTTTCCTTGAATCCAGCACGGCTAGGGCGTGCTAGAGTCTGAGTGTTTTGCTTTATTTTGCTTTTTTCTGTGTCAAAACGCTTTTTTTTCTGTTGTCAAAACTGAGTCTCCACTTGATTTTCCTTGAATCCAGCACGGCTAGGGCGTGCTAGAGTCTGAGTGTTTTGCTTTATTTTGCTTTTTTCTGTGTCAAAACCCTACAAATTTCTCTAAGATCAAGTGGATTATGATTCAAGGAAACTTTACATAAAAAAATAAATAAAACTGAAAATAACAACTAAATAAGTAATAAAAATGCTAAAAATCATAATAAGAACTATATTGAAAATACTATAAAAAATAACACTATCAATGTTTAATTCTTTCTATTGGGAGAGTGATAGCAAATCTACTGGGATTAAATGGATGCGGTGGGAACGGCTATGTTTGGATAAGGCGAAGGGTGGTCTCTCTTTTCTGCTGATTCATGATTTTAATCTGGCTCTCTTAGCTAAACACGGTTGGAGGATTTTGCAATGTCCTAGTTCTCTTGCGGCTCGGGTTTTAAAAACTCGTTACTTTCCTTCGACAACTTTTTTTGATGCTAAGCTGGGTACGAATCCAAGCTACTTATGGAGAAGCATTTTGGAAGCTCAACCTCCCCTTCAAAGTGGCTGCAGGGTCAAAATTGGGAATGGCCAACAATTCCTATTTGGGCAGCGCCATGGCTTCCTGATATCAACGATCCATTAGTTGTCATAGCTCCTATGGAGGGTCGGCAAAATGATATTGTCTCTACTTTACTAATGGCTAGTTCAATCGATAGGATGTAACCTATATTCAGCATCATTTTTCTCAACGTGGAGTGGAGTTAATTTTGCAAATCCCACTTCCACGTTTAGACAGAGAGGATCGTTGGCTGTGGAGTTTGGAGAGTCAAGGTATACATTCGGTTTGTAGTGGTTATCGTTGGCAGTGGAACTTTCAACAACTATGGACACTGTTATCTCTTCGGTTGGGGTCTTCTTTGGAAAACAAAGGTACCCAAAAAAATTTTGCACTTCGTTTGGCGGGCTGTAAATGAGGTATTACCGTGTCGAATAAATTTACGCCAAAGCAGAGTAGATGTTTCTTCACTGTGTCCTTTCTGTGGTTTATATAATGAAACAGCAAGGCATGTTTTGATGAAGTGTTTTATTGCGAAGGGTTGTTGGCTTTCTTCATCACTCGGATGGAGGACAGCTCCATCTTTGTCTGACTTGATCCTTAGAGTTACTGCTACAGGGCTACCAAAATTACGCGAACTGTTTCTTTTACTGAGAGTATCTGGTGGTACCGTAATCAGCTGATCTGGCACCAACGTGTTACTTCTGTGAGCCAAACAGTGCGTTATGCAGTTCAGTTGCTGCATGAATGGCAGCAGCTGCAGTCCCCTTCATCCTCAGTTCGTACACAGCAGTCCCATGTTACCAAACGGTATCCGCCACCTTATGGTACATTCTTAGAGATCACAATGGCTGTTGTATAGGGGGGAAATCATTCTCTCTAATGGCCCTACGGGATGTTAAATTGGGTGAGGCTCTTTGTTCTAGGGAAGCTCTTAGTTGGTTGAAGTTAAAGGGTTTGTAAGATGTTCGCATTGAGACTGATTGTCTTCTTTTAGTTCAGGCATTAAAGGCGAATAATCTGGATCTTTCTTATTTTGGTTTAATTGTTATGGATTGTAAAGCACTCTTTAGTGAGCTTTCTTTCTTTACTTATGCTTTTGTCAAGAAGTCTACAAATCATGTTGCTCGTACGATTGCCCGGCTAGCTGGTGAGGTATGCCCTCCTTTATTTCTATATGATCCTTTGACTTTTGATTCTAATATTACAAGTTAGCCAGCTTTTTCTTTCAAAAAAAACTCACTATTAACTTACAAAATATTAGTAAAATTTATTTACTTTATAATTTTTTTATAATTGTTAAATTCATTTTTTTTTTTGTATTATTGATATCTTATATTTTATAATTTCCGCTCAATCCAAAACAAAATAAAATAAAATAAACACCCTCCGCTTAAAATGAACTAATAATGGAATACATAAACATTATACTCAACAACAGCATCTCCTGATGTTTGATTGAAACTGTAAGTAGTAGCTTGAACATATCCTTTAGCAAACCGGAACAGCCCACTTCCGCCGATCACTGGCATCTCTCTGACGTCAGATAGAACTTTATTCCTTCCCAATATACTTAGAGTGCTACCATTGTACTTCCCTTCAAGAAAAACAAAATTCATCACCATTAATAACGCCCCAACATGTTCTTGCGAAGCAGCTCCGTAAAACCCCTGAGCTCTTCCTATCAATTTTGAGCTCAGTTGTGGCTTCTCGGTTAATGGGTCATCTATCATGCTTATGAGGCCAAAGCCAGAGATGTCGTTTGTGGGTGACTTCACAATCACGGCGGCGCTAGGGTTAGGGCCGCTGTATATGTCATGCCAGTAGAAGCGAAAATGGCTAAACTTTTCCTTTTTCAGACCATAGACGTTCATGTCTAAATTTGTCGCAAAATCTTGAGATCTAACGGCGACTGCAATTGTGGTAAAGGAAGAGGAAAGAGTGAAAAAGATGAGAATGGAAGCTAGTATAGGAACATCTCTAACCATGATTGTGTTCATTTGTTGCCTCATGGTCAGGCTGATGGTGTATATATAATCTGAGTAAAAATATGAATGGATGTTTGAGTTTGCTTTTATTTTATTTAATTGATTAGGTTTCATTTACATTAAAGTCATAGTTGGAGAATAGAAGATATCAATTAAATATTATTTTTGTTAATATATGAATAATTATTCTTACAATTCAGAAAGCGAATTTGAGATTAAAAGATTTAAGAAAATTTTAAAAATTACATTTTTTTGTCTTGAAATTATTTTTCTAATAATTTGTGCGAGTGAAAATTGATTTTTTAATCAATATATTTTATGTCATTTTATCATCAAATCTCTTTTTTTTCCTATTAAATAGTTAAATATTAAATATATTAATGCTGTCAATATTTTGATGATATTAAACAATAATATTAATTCTTTCTCAAAAAAGGAAAACAATAGTATTAATTAAAAATAATTTTTAACTGATTTGAAATTTTCACTATATCTTATAGGTTTCACTACATATTTAAATTAATATTTTAATTAATTTATTAAAACTAAAATATTAAAAAAGAAAGTAATTTCTAAAGAGAGAAAAAATCCCTAATTTATTTTCCATCCTTTTTTTATTCAGAAAGGAGAGAAAGGAAAATATTAGAAGAAAAAATAATAGAGGAAACTAGTGATAAATTGTCAGCTTTCTCTATATAATTATTTTCCATTCTTGTGTTTGGATATAAAAAAAATAATAGAGAGAACTAGTTGATAAAATTGTCAGCTTTTTTTTCCCCTTTCTATATAATTATTTTCCATTTCTTGTGTTTGATATACTATATATATATACTATATATATATATATATATAAAAATAAGCGGATTGGAAATTATATATATAAAATAAGGGATTGGAAATAAAATTATTTATCTTTGTTTGGAAAAGATAAAATTTTTGAGGAAATGAAATAATATTATTATTAGAAATTGACAATTATGTCCTCACTTAATAATGAGGCATTCAAGAAATGGTAAGAGTTTATTAATTAATTTGTGGTATTTGGATAATTTATTAAAAATGAATAAAATTCACACTTTCCTCTATTATTTTCTCTCCATCTTGTAGAGATTAAAAACATGTGAGCCTGCGTGACAAATAGGTGAAATATTACTTCCTTCAATATTTTCCTCCATTTTTTCCAAACAAGAAAATGTACCATTTTCTAGATATTTTCCATATATTATTTTCATTCCTTCAAAAAAAAACTTACTCTCATCCAAACAAAGGTAAATCTTAAATCCCTATCACAAATCCTAAAGTTACCAATAGGCTAATTCGCAAGTGCACGAAATTACAAACAAGTAATAAAAAGTGAGTAGAGTGTTGTTCCCACGAGGATTGTATACCAAGTACTAAAATTGTGTTAACCTACTATTATTTGAACGACAATAAGGAAAATAATTCTAAAAATAAAAGAAATAAAATAAAGCGATGAAAAAGAACTCAAGTAAGTAATTGTTGAAAAGAAATCAAGGATTAAAAGCTACTAGGGATTATAATTTCGCTTAATTTTATCCAATTTATTTTATTAGTTTCAAGGATTAAAAGCTACTAGGGATTATAATTTCGCTTAATTTTATCCAATTTATTTTATTAGTTTGATAATCAATTTTAATTGTTCGAATAGAGAAAATAACTCTAAAATCACTAACAAGCTCTCCCGCTATTTTAAGTCAGTCTAATTACGTATCTTCTAATAGTGCAATCAAACATTAACCATTAAATCATTAAGTTTTATGGTTTATTTTTAAATTCATAACCTAAGGTCATCAACTTATAAAAATCCTCCATGAATCAAATCTTATAGCTTCCATATCAAGTTATTATTCTTATATAATTTATTAACTTTTTCATATCAAAAACCCTTCTCCCTATGGTGATTAATGAAATAAATCAATTTAGGGGAGAAACTCTGCCTAGAATCATTAAGTTCAATAATAAATTATATCATGAACAAGGACAAGCAAATCTAATATTATAAATTGGAATCAAAATTAAGCTACATCAAATCCTTAGTATATAAATTTAGTTCAACATAGTAAATAAATTAAACCTAAATAAACTTGTAAATATTCTCATAATCAACATGAATATTAAAAATAAAACAAGAAGAGAGTTTAGAAATAAAAAGTAGCCCACAATTGGCTTGTAGCGCTTTCTTGAATCTTGATCTCCAACTTGATTGTTTGAAGTCTTGTAAAGAGAAAAGATGCAGAGAAAAGAATATGAAATAATGGATGTGATGTGAATCCATTCCTTTTGTGTAGAGATTTCTCTTTATATAGACTTCGTAGAATGTCTTTGAATCCGAGTAGGAAACTAGCTGGCCTAATTAGAAAGAAATATTATTTGAGTAGGAAACTGATTTTATATTGTATTTCTTCCCAATTAGGAGTTTTCTTTGACCAAATAAGGCTGGAACTCAAACAATGTAAGTCTTATATTATTGTCATACAGCTCCATGCATAAGACATGCCCAAGATTCAAATCTATACGGGCTAATAATTAAATTCGACCTACTTGAATTTTCAGCTTTCTTGGAGACACGACTGTGGTGTCTGACACGGCCAGGCCGTGTACTTTACTAACTTGGCCATGTTGAGCTTTTATATCCATATTTCAGCTCCAATCTTCTTTGATGCATATTTTAGCTATTTTTCTGCTAAAACCCCTTCAAATCAAGCTTATCAAGAATCAAGAAAACTTAATTAAAAACATAAATAAATCTAAACAAAAACTAATTAAAGTAATTAAAAATAATAATTAAACAATAAATAAAAAATTCTCAATAAAACTATATAAAAATACTCTTCAAATCAAGCTTATCAAGAATCAAGAAAACTTAATTAAAAACATAAATAAATCTAAACAAAAACTAATTAAAGTAATTAAAAATAATAAAAAATCTCAATAAAAACTATATTAAAAATACTATAAAAATAAGACCTATTAGTTACATTACCCATAAATAGTATCTTACTTATATTTGGAATAATAGTCAATTTGAGCTAATGATCGAGAAAATATGTAAGCTACACAGTAGAGTAGCCCTCCCCTTGAAATAATACAAACTAAATTGGTGATAACTACAACGATGTACTGGACTCGAACTTGAAATTCAGCACTCCACACGTCTTCTATAAGATGTAAAAAGACAAATCAGATCACTTTGTTCTTATTGATATTTCATGTAATATCATTAGATGTATATATCTAGATGAATTTTATATACAAGGTTACAGATTCAAAACTATGATTTGTTATAATTGGAAGGCTTTACCTGAATATAACCTTCAATCCAGATGTAGATACACGCAAATCAATAATAAGCAAATACGCTAAGAGTTTGAAAATTGATTGTTTAACAAATATAATTAACATTTGATTCTGGTTAAAATAATTAAAAGAAGTAAGTTATGAGGCTCCATACTGATTTGACTCTCCTTTTCTTTCTTTTCTCTCTAGTCTTTTAACCTTAATTTTTAGTTTGGGCTGCCGCTACTTCTTACTTTTTACTCTATCTTTAGATTTCTTTTGCTTTAATAAACCTATAACCTCCCTGTCTTTTTTGTTATTGTTATTATTATTGTTGATTTGTCTCCATATTTGGAATTTTTTTTTTTTGTCTCTTCTTTATGAGAGTTTATTACTAAAAAAAATTATGATGTTTAATTTTATTTCATTGGAGACTTTAGATCTTGATTTGCAAGTACGGATCTTCAACTAATGTAGCCTGGTTATGTGGCTTGTTCCTCCATTGATGCTATTGATGTATAGTGGCGGAAACTCATCTACGCTCGTCATATGTTGCAAATTATTAGAAAAACAATCCAATTATAGAAGATCTAGAAGAGTTATTATTTTGACATTCAAATCAATTAATGGACTGGGTGCTACTATGAAGATTTATATCTTTTATCAATATCAACTCCAAGCGGAAAGATCTAATATTATATTTTTTAATTTTAGTTTCATTATTCAAAAGAATAGAATTCTTTTATTTTGTTAAAAAATTAGAGAACTCTATTAGTAGCTACTAATAGTAAAGTTCTATATCCGATCTATATGATTATTTGTAATTCTTTATATTATTATTAATGAATTGCATTTAAAAAAACAAATATAATTAAAACAATCACAATTTATGCTTTTCCCCTAAAATAATAGAAAGCTGTCAAATACAAAAGAATCCTTTCTTGGCGTGGCTTCTGCCACTTGCATTTTATAAAGGTAATAGGTGGCCCCATAGACAAAGATCATTATTACTTGACAAGTATTATGTCTAAATTAGTAGTATTGCTTAATTAAGTTTCATGACATAATTTTTCTGGATGAAAATAAAATTATATTTAGTTAGTAATTTTATTATTAGAGGCGATGATAGTTGTTGTACTAACTCAACTTGATAAGCAAGCCAAGGACCCCAAAGTCCCATCCGATCTGCTCTCTGAATAAATGTTCAGCTCTTTGTCTATTATTCAATGGTTAGTGGGGCACTAAATCACCAACCCCACTGGCTTCTTCCGACAATAAATGACCACTACAATAAACAACCTTATTGTGTCAAAGGAGTAATTTTAGCCTTTGTATTATATCATCAGTAAATAATTGTTGCATCATGTTTGTATTTTTTTATAGTTGGTAAATTATTTATTTGAGACCAAAAATTTATTTAATTAATGTGATCAGTTGATTAGGTTTGAAGGTTGATTTAAGTATAACCTCGTTTTGATTAAATTACAACTGTAGAAGGCTTTAAGAGAAAGATTTAATTCGTAAAGTTTAATTAATCTGCAGGGATGAAAAATAATGTTGAATTGATAAAAACTATACATCAAAGTGTAAGAAAGCAAATTGAGAGAAAAAGTGAAGCTTAGCAAGGCACGCAATGAAAGGTTGTAAGAGAGTAAATTTTGCACTTAGAGATCTTGGTTTTGTTTGGTAATATTAATTATGTTTTAATAGTTGTTAGCTGTTGTAGTAGCTCTTAGTTTT